GATATGCAATAGAAAGGACCATATCACAAGCACATTTGACGCGCTTTTCTGTCCCTACCCCTGGCTTATACACACTTATTTCATTTTGACCCTACCTATTATTAGCTGTCGACTCAGGAGTGGGGATGAGCTTTTTATTATAAGAAAATGACTAGTCTAGCTTTGTTGCTTTCTTCTGAGTTACGTGGAACGAGTTTTCTATGGTTTGGAAATTTTATCCCATCATCGCTATTTCTATTTCTGAATAAGCTTAGGCCACAAGAAATAGATTAGGGTTTTATGAATTAACAGAGGAATTTTTCTCACGATATTCTAAATACCAAAACGAAAACAAACCCTTATAAAGTTTAACTAAATAATTATTTTTTTAAATACTTTGTCCTTCAACATTTTAATTTTGATCGAATTTGTAACAGCACAAATTTTGTGGTCAAGATTCAAATGTTGGTTAGAACCATGACAAATCAAGTAGTGACCTCACTTGGATCAGTTGGGCCAAGGTTTGAGGTGATTAGATTAGAATTGGGTTAAACAAAGAGCTTTGAGTTGGGTTGTAAATTCTTCGATTCTAAAAATTGAAATTTATCTGAATTTGATTATCTTTTCATAAAAATATTTGGGATTTTGTACCCTATCAATGTTTTCTTCAACTTGATCTATAGATAATTTTAATCGACAATCAAATGAATTAACTGGACAATAAGTAAAACGAATGTAAGTATGTAATATGAGGGCCTTATATGATAATTAGGACACGTTGGAATGATAGTCGGCAATGTTAGCTACATGCAAGCCCTTGGATCTTGGAGATGCAAATCGTGACCATTGCATTATTTTTGGAAGTTAGTAATACTGTTATTATTCCTTTAGGAAGATCATGAATTATTTGTTACAAGAGACGATCCAACAAGTTATGAACAAATTAAATATTAATATTATATAATAAAAGTAGACCGCTACTACTAAACTAAGCCACGGATATGTTCAATGCTAAAAGTTGATTATCGAACCGGAATCAAAACTTTACATCGCAATGAGAAAATGCACGAGACAGCATTGGGGAGGGCATCCGTGTGTCGCATGATTAGACCAATCTTATGCAAGCTTAGATCTCGAGCAAAAGAGAGATTCTATTTTGTATGTAATTTGATTTGACAAGATTCTTCGTCCTTTGCTATCATTAAAATATGGTCGTGGGTGGGCGTTGCTAAATTTTGTCGAGGAAAAGCAGCCATTGCTTTTGCGATAGAATTTCTCACTCTGCCCTGCCCCACGCGTGAAGCCGAAGATACAAGGACAGAATTACTCATAAAATAAACCTTGATACTATGTTATGTCATGTTAATTATACTCATTCAAATATGATGTTTTGAGTAAGTACGATGAATTCAAATGATACTACATATAAGGGCCAATTACATGATTTATTATTTATGTATGTGTTTTGTTTACTTTTTTTCATTGATTTAAAAATATTATAATATATGATCATTTTCGTTTTTATTTAATTAAAATGTAGTAACCACGAGTTAACTGTCATTAACAGTTAACATATTAAATGATGTGGTAGTTAAATGTTTTGGTATAATCACACATTTGGTCACTGCTATTTACATATTTTTTTTTAATTTACTCTTATTTTTAATAAATTATATATATATATATATATATTATGTTAAAATAATAGATTAAATGGTGTGAAGTCATTCAATTTAAAGATTAAATTTATTTTAATTTATTAAAAATATGACTAAATTAAGAGGATATGTAAATAATAGGGATCAAATATGTGATTATACTAAAATATTTAACTGTCACATCATCTAATCTGTTAACTATCAACCGGAGTTAACTCATGGTAACTACATCTTAATTAAATAAAAATAAAAGTAATCATATATTATATTTTTTAAAATCAATGAGAAAAAGTAGATAAGATACAAATATAAGTGATCAATCATGTAGTCAACCTTAAATATAATTACGAGGCATCTATCTTTAAATAGTTATCTTTTAAAAATATTCCATACCTATATAAATTGATATATATATATATATATTTATTAAATATATAATTATAATAATAATTTTGTCCACCTATAAATCCAATATAAATACTCCATAGATAATAATCCAATATAAATACTTGGGTTAGCACTTAGCACATGAAATGACAAAAGCTAGTAGTGAGAAAAGAAGCCGCCGCTTTAAGCACCTTAAACTTGACATCCACTTAGAACATTACACGATTATATTATGCAATTATCTTTATAAATTAATGTTTAATATTTTTTAGGGGAATAAGTGGTTTTGGTATATCGATGACGGTTAATTTATTCTGATTTGAGGGGAGGGTCATGATTGGAGCATAAACGATTGTTAATCGTTGTAATTATATAAGAGAGAGTGAATCACGGAGAAGAAGAAGAAAGAAAATGGGTGTTTATTGTAGAAGGTATTAGTCCGTTTTTCGATCGTGTTGAGAAATATCTATAGTGATTTTAGATTATATGTCAATCATATGATTATTATAGTTATTCATAGATAAACAAACTAGAAAAATCTAGTAGTGAGACTTTGAATTTTCCTTCAATAGATCATGTGGGTTTGTCAAAAATCATGTCTAAAAGTATTATCTGTTCACTGTAGATGACTTGAAAATTTCTACCTGAAGATTATTCTCTGGAGGTGTAACAATTTGTCCCTCTTAATTAAAAAAATATCCTAAAGTGACTTGATCCTATAATTATGAAGGAGAAAAGTATTATCTATATTGAAAAACTATTTATTATATTTAAAATCTTATAATTATAATTAACCGTTAAAAATAAGATTAAATTTATAATTTGATATTTTGAGTCTTAAATTTAAGGAATAGAAATAATATTTATATATGATACAATTTAAATAAAGATAAAAAAAATATACATTTTGAAAATAAAATTTAAATGTCAACATTTTGTTATTAAAATAAGGTGATTATAAAGTATTATATATTATAATTACTCTTAACCATTTTACAATGAACGCTCAATCACCTTGCTACAGCCGCTGATGCTCGAACTCGTGATTTCTAGGAAGAATAACAATTTCTTTAACTATTGAAGTAAGTTGGTTCGTGCTAAAAATAAATGTCAATATTTATATAAAAGAATTGGTATGAACCCACTTAAAATAAATAAATAAACCAGTGGGGGACGAGTGAAGGGCAAGATATGCAGAGAGAGTGATGGGGGAAATGGCGTGGAATCTTGTTGAGGCGACTCACTGGCTGCCCTGGTCAGGGACTTGTTGCGCTTAGCTCATGAATTGGCGAAAGCTATTTGTTAACTTGTCCTACCATAACTACAGCAATTATAATTCTCCTGATAAATGATAATGGAGCTGTGCTTTTTCAAAGAGGAAGCATTACCAAATTCTCTACTTCAACTAGACAAATCATGGATATTTCACAAATAATATAGACAAATGAAAACAAGAAAGAATATATGTTTGAGGGCATCAACGACTTAGAACACGAAGTTAAAACAATTTTTTGAAATAAGATTTTTAGAATATAATAATATTTGACATATTATTGGTTATATTATATTAATTTATTTGGTTTATAGATTAACCCATGACACTAAATTCAATGAAGACCTAAGCAACTTACATAGATAATTAGTTAATATGACACGGTTTTCATTACTATCTTTTTTATAGATAGCCACACGTACTTTGATTCTATTTGGAATCAAGTCGGATTATGTATTTTAAATTAAAGATAAAATATGTTCACTACACACGTATTTTGATTATATCTAGAGTCAAGCAAATTAGATACTTTAAACTAGAGGTAAAACTCTCTCAATATTGCTTTTTACGTCCATAAGATTCAAAGTCGAGTCTTGTCTAAGTAATATTAAAATTCATATGCTTTAAGTACGTTTTTTATGTTTTTTTTTGTTATCCTCCGGTTTCAATGTTTAGTCCTAACTAATCTGTGCCGACCCATGTCGCACACTTAGTTTTAGTGGGTGAATCTCCCATTTAACTCGATGCCTAAAGGTTGATTTTTTAACATAATTCTAAACTTTTCTGTACAAAATTACACACACATATACATATACCTAAATTAAAAATAAGTACTTAAATTATATTTTTTTACTTTAGGTAAGTTATTTTTTTTGTCAAAGTAGATACTTAAGTTATCATATTTAATTATTTTAAGTCAAAATATTTTTTTAATTAGAAAATTATTTTTTTATCAATAAGATATTGACACGTCATACAAAGTTAAATATTTATTTTGACTAAAAAATATTTTAGGGACTTAGAGCAAAAAATGAATATAGTTTAGGAACTTATTTTGACCAAAAAATTGTTGAAATACTTAAAGTTATTATATATAATAGTTTGACTACATAGTTCAATAAAAAAATTGTTTAAGTACCTAAAATAAAAAATAACATAGTTTAAGTTCTTATTTTTTAGTTTACGCTATATATAATAAAATATATTTAAGAAAATTTATAATATTTATCGTATTGATATTTAGATAATATAATTATTATAATAAAATGTTACGATACTATTTAACATATTTACAATTACAGTAAATACAATATAATTTAAAATAAAATTTGAAAATCAAAATTTAATTCTAGAGTGAGAGAGATTTAAGCAGGAACGTAAGTGTCAGGAGAGAGAGTATATAGGAGGAATTAAAGAAAAGAAAAGGTGGAGTGTGAAAAAAAGGGTGTCGACCAAAACTGATAAATAAAGAGGGAAAGTGACCGAGGAGAATTTAAGGGGACAATATAAGGGTTGAAGCAGCTAAACCAAAGAGAAGCAAGTGGTAGACAAGTTCTTTGGAGAAAGGGCCAAATCCGATAGAATTGCAACAACCTCGAAGCTAGTTCAAACTAGTGGGAGGTTGTGTGCAGAGGACAGGAGATCTGATCAAAATCCGAAGAAGAAGAAGAAGAAGAAGAAGAAGAAGAAGACGAAATCAAAGGATGGGCCGGGGAAGAGTTGCGATGAAGCGCATTGAGAACCCAGTGCACAGGCAGGTTACCTTCTGCAAGCGTCGAGCTGGCCTCCTTAAGAAGGCTAAGGAGCTCTCTGTGCTCTGCGATGCTGCAATTGGACTTGTCATTTTCTCTGCTCATGGAAAGCTCTATGAACTAGCCACTAAAGGGTATCTTCTTCTTCCCTTCATTCTTTTTACGTCTCATACTTGAAGTGAAGGTTTGAAATAATCTCTTTTTGTTTGTTTTTGGGAATTAAGGACCATGCAAGAGCTGATTGAGAGGTATGGCCACTACACTGGAGGACCTCAGCTGCCTGACGAACCCATGGTGGAACCTATGGTAAGTCGTATATATATATGTCTACGCACGTTTCATAAATATATATTTCTTTACCAAGTTACATACAATCAAATAGCATATGGATGAGCAATAACGAGTTGGTCTAGTGGGATGAGGCACTAGGTTCTTTAAGCAAGGTCACAGGTTTGAATCATGTGTTTACGAATGAAGCAAACTGAGTTGGGAGGGTCGCACTCACGTCTGCAGTACCCGATTTGAATTAGTCGGTCAATAAATAAAATACTAGTGATTAATTAAAAAAATATCATATGGACGAGCTGATTCAGTATTGATATTATTACTTTTTAAGTTGTCAGTTCGAGTATTAATAAATATATATTTTTTGATTTAAAAATTAGTTTATTAAATATCTCTTGTTATTTGTCGCTGTGACATGAGATATTTTTGTGTGCAATTTATGTTAATTTGATAATTATTATTTTTAAATATTCTCTAATAATAATAAGAGTTTCGAGATCAAAATTGTTATCATTCTATAGTAAGAAAGAGAGGCAACACTCTCACTATATTTTATTGAAATTAACCAGTAATATCTCAAGAGAGACCTGAGGGAATTTATACAAAGAATAGAGGCTAGTCATGAGGTCTGAGCTGTCTAACAGAAAACCCTAACAACTCTAACAGCTAGGATAGGTGATGAATATCAGCCTAACCATTCATAACAACTCATCACAAGACTCATACATTCATACCAAAAATGAAACTTTATTACAAGAAACACTATATCATCAATATAATGTTATCAGCAAAGTGGTGTTGAATCAGATTCTTCCTACTCAACGAACCAATACGAAATGTTGTTAGAATTCTGGGTAAGTTAGCATGCCCCAAAAGTTGTTAATTGTTAACCGCTAAGAAAATTCTTTAATAATTACCCAGTAGCGATCAGGAATATTGGCGTTGATGATAGTTGTTGATGCATGCAATCGATGCCGGGATAGATAGGAAGGTGGTGAAGCGGTTGTATTAATTATAAATATTTAATTGATAGTGTAATGACTGTTTTTCTTTCTTTTTCTTGGTTAAAGGAAGCAATAATGAAAGCTGCAAATAGATGTCTTCTTGAAACGGTAATAGCAATGCCTCAATTTTAAGAGTACTTATAGGATTATAATAATGATTAATATTTGGATACATATAAATTTATATTCTGTTCAAGAGTTATATTATATTTAAAATTTTATAATCACCGATATACTACAATATTGATCGTATTTTTCTTTTACAGATGGAGGAGAATGTCAGCCACTCTGATTTTACTACAATGAACACTTGTATGCAGATGCATCCACTAACCATAGGAAATAACATCTTTTGACATTAGGATATTATGTATCATTTCATATGCATGCATATATGAATGTTAAGGGTTGTTTCTACTGTATATAAGTGAACCATCAAGTGTACTTGGTCCTGTTTTTGTTCCCCTTGTGATGAAATAAAGTGTGCAAGGGAGTTCATACTTGATGTCTTTGGAAATTATTGTGTTGTTTTTAGTTTTATTTATTTATTTATTTTAGAAGTCACTGGGAAAATTGGATTTTGGAATTACATTCAAAACGTGCATTTTCTCATTACAATCCCAGCCGGTTTTCCAGTATACTATGAAACCACAAATTGCACAAAATGGGTAGCCAGTGGCATTTAGTAAGGGTTTCATCTTACTCAAATGAAGCAATGATGAAACCATCAAAGATAAGATCAGGTTACCATCAAGGGAGATAGGTTCACCTCTTGACTAAGCATCAATTGCACACAGTAAGGTCGGAACTTCCGAGCAGCTCTCATCTGTTGAATCCGCTTTTTATCCTGCTCGAATTTGCTTTGGAGTGTCAAAAGTTCTGCAAGAGGGAAAAGTTACGTAAATCCGTCGTGTCGGCTCGAAAAAAGCAAAAGAAAAGACTGCACTTCTACAAGCTACCAAATATGCGCATATAACAAAGAACATTCTTACATCATAGACATTGCATTGAATAAAAGATCATAAATCACAATGGGGGATCTGGATCCCCTTCATCACTATTCAATATAATTTAATCACTATCCGCGAGGATTGCTTCCAACATTTATACATGGGTCCTATAAATGTGAATGATGATAATCAGTGTATTGGAAAATAAATAATGGACAAAATCTCAACTCCATTTTGAGCAAGCAGTACCCATACGGTATATGTCCAACAAAGGTATGCTCAAGTTTTTCCGTGATTTAGGAAGGCCTTTCAAAGGTCATACCTATACACGTCTAAATATGTGCTGGGTACAAGAATTTCACGTAAAATGAAGTCCAGATAAACATAGCTCGCCAGTTACCTAGCATACATGATATTGATCAACTATACTGCGTATGGTTTATTAAGAAGTGTAAAAATATGTGCAACGAGAAGCAGCTAATCCTAACATCAACACCCTACAACATAATTAATCACAACTTAACTGAAACCCCCAGATAATGTTCATAATAAACTCAGTAGTGACATATTGGTAAAAAAAAAAACCAACTTGAAAATCATTCATACCATTCCTCTGGGCTTCTCCTTTTTAAAAGCGGTAGAAATCAGACCTCTTTGCTCTTCTTCTTAGCTAATTTATCCTCCACGGCATCCTGAGAAACAGAGCCTACTGTAGTTCCACTTTCAGTGTCCGTGGTCTTTTTCCTTCCTTTATTTTTTTTGATAAGAAGGGAATGCCTCGTTAAAAACCTCCTTCATGATTAATAGAGGTCGTAGAGAAGCTCCTTAATCAGCGGAAGGAGGAAAAGAGTGCCTTAGAATTCATTAATAATAAAATGGATACACAAAGTTTAAAAACATCAAGAATAACCCCCTTACAAAACAACCCGAAAACCATAAACAAATACCCCTAACATCAACACTCTAATTAGCCAATTCCAACCTTAGCTAAGCCATCTGCCTCTATATTAGCTGTCCTAGCAACCCATCTAATTACACCCTCCAAATCTTTTAGCCTATCAGCAATATCCTCGACAATTATAACATACACATCTGGACATTTTTCAACATTCTTAACCCATTCCACTGCCACCTTACTATCACTTTCAATTATCAACCGACCCTTAATACACCCTCGAAAAGAATCAAAGAAAGATAATCAATATATGCATCCTCCTTCCGTAAATCGAGCTTCTTTTTCTTTTCTTTCCTATATCACCATAACAACCAAAATAATAAATTTCCTTCTTTTGTTGGCCAATATGCATGATTGTCTGATAGTATGCATCCTCCTTCCGTAAATCGAGATTCTTTTTCTTTTCTTTCCTATATCACCATAACAACCAAAATAATAAATTTCCTTCTTTTGTTGGCCAATATGCATGATTGTCTGATAGTCTTTAGTTTTTCATTGAATATACCAAAATCTTAAAAAGCACCTATGCAAACCAGTGCATGCCTGGTCAAACGCACCTTGCCTAAAAGGGCTTTAGGTGTGTTTTTGTTGTGTAATGGTGGGGCAAACTCCTTGACAAAACTGGTATTGCAATGATTCGACATGGGATGCCAAGAAGAAAAATACATGTTCAAGTTTTTCCTCGTGCGCAACTACAAACTCATCAATCCTTTGTTGCAATACTTTCAAGACAGGCCTACTTTGGTGTCTGTAAGCCATTCTACAGTTTAAGAAAACTCGCCTATCAAATGTTTATGAAACGATAAACTTGTCTATCAACTGATAATGGAGCATACACGGTCAAACTATAATCCAGATAACAAAAGGAATAATGCCAAAATTAGCCCCCAACGTTTACCAAAATGGTCATTTTGGCCCCTATTCTTTTTTTGGGGGCATTTTGGCCACCAACATTTTGTTTTAGAGCAAAAGGCATACCTTCATTTAGGATAAACTTTGGGGGCTAATTTTAGCTACAAGTTTGACAATTGCAATATTGCCTTCTACGACGCATATACTAAATGAAGATGGAAACAAAACTGAAATAAGTTTTAAAGCAAAATTCAGAATACATATGCCTGAATTTGACAAAGAACAGTAATGCTTTGGAACTTTATTTCTACTGCATTTACCAAAGGCTCAAAATATTTAAAGAAAATTCACCAGTTTCATACTTTTCATTCCTTTTGAGCAATCGTCTCTCCGGACGGTATTTCATAAACTTCATCCTCGTGAGCTGCTTTACACTTTTCCACCAACTGCCCATTTGACTTCTTATTTCTATCATTTCTAGGTTTGTCTACAAGGAAAGAAAAATGTATTGTAACATCAAAGAGCAATTGCAAAATTAGAGTTGATGAAATTCTAAATAAACCAAACAAAACACCCATCACTCGTTTACAACTTTTATTCTTGCTTTCATAATGGAGTCTGCAAATGCAATGCTAATTGATGAAATTCTACGTAAATCAAACAAAGCCTATCAATTATTTACAAGTTGCAGTCTTCAACTTTCTGAAGCATCAACCATTGAGTCTTCGTCCTTACTCTCATCATCTAATTTTCCTTTTTCACAAAAGAAACAAATAAAAGGATTAGTCTAACCTTGAACATGAACTTCGTTCTCATTAACAAGACTATCATCAGTTCCAACGCTAGCGTTGATTTTCTCTTTACTTTTTCTTTTCTTCTTGCTTAATTTATCTTTTTCTCTCTCTTTTGTATGCAACTAAATTGACCACTGAAATCAACGAACCAAAAAAAAGCAGAAAAGTTAAATTACATATATACAAAGATCATTCAATGACAAAGCAGTAGAAAAAATTTCATTGATATTTACCCATTTGAACATCTTCGGAAACACCAACAGCATTAGCCTTCTCTTTACTCGTCTTCTTCATCGATCTTCTTCAAATTTTCAACTTTCTTCCAAGCTTAAAATAGCTTCTGCTGCTACAACGAGGAAAATTGAAAGCGCGCAGGAAAAGGGTTTTCCTCGGTACAATTACAATGATATGAATAATTGGGCCTTTTGGGTTTAGGGAACTTAAAAGTATAAACTTGGACTTAAAGCACCAAACACAAAGCCCAAGAGAGTTCAACCCTAACTCTTCAAGCCAGTCCAAATTATTACATTACAATATGTAAATAAAGCAAGGAATTAAAGTTTTCTTCGTTTTGTTTCAATCCATACTTTCCCTCGGGCAAGCACCCACCATGACTCTAGAAATCGAAGCTCGAGAGTACGTTTCCCTTCTCTTTTTATGTTGTTTTCTCGTTTTTTTGGGATTTGGGTAATGCGCTAGAAACTGACTTGAATTTCTACTACTTGTCTTGTTTGTTTCAATTTCTCTCTTTCTTTTTGGTCAGCGTTATTAAGATTGTGCTCCAATTTTGCAAAGAAAATTCGTTGCATCAAACGTTTCAAACGCTACAAAACGAGTGCCAGGTTTCTCTGAATACTGTAGACAGCATCGAAACGTTTGTTGCTGATATTAACAGTGGAAGATGGGATGCCATATTGCCTCAAGTGGCTCAACTTAAGCTCCCAAGGAACAAATTGGAGGACTTATATGAGCAGGTTTGGGCCCTTATTTGTCATTACTTTGTAAACTAGTTTTTCATGCTCATTGCTTTGTAATTCTTTATATGAATGAAATTGGGGTGTTTCTTTGGCTACTTGCGTTTTTCTTCCACAAGCAATGCAAAAAGATGTCTATGGCTTACGGGTTTTTTTGTGTGCATGATTTTTGTTTCTATAGAACAGTTTCTTCAGAATTGAATCGGTTGCTTTTTATAAGATTATGTTTTTTTTTTAAGTTTCTCTTATACCCATAATGCACCCAATCCCTAACTAAATTAACTCACATGATGAAGACATTATTTGCGTAATCCCTCTTGTACTCGTAACCCTCAGGAGTCTTTCAGCTGCAAGATGCCATCTGAGCTACAATTTAGTTGTCTATCTTTATAAGTTACAACAGCATTTAAGAACTAAAATGTATATAGCAAAAAGTAAGTTGTAAAGGTAACAGTTTATCTGTGCTCAATCTTGTTTTTAGCTTCATATAGTAGCTTCTTGGGATGTAAAATATAACTAGCAAAACCCAATGGAAAAAGAATATGGCCGTGTTCAGCCATAACTATTTTGTTGAAGTCACAAGTGAGGCGGACACCTTTAAAATCATTAGGACCTATTACATTGCGGTCATCCTTTTTCAATATCATTGTGTTGACATTCCGTTTTATATTTTGCATTTTTTGCTTTGACTTCTGCAGATTGTATTAGAAATGATTGAACTAAGAGAGTTGGACACTGCACGTGCTATATTGAGGCAAACCCAGGCAATGGGGGTTATGAAACAGGAGCAACCTGAAAGATACTTGAGGCTTGAGCACCTCCTTGTCAGAACTTATTTTGATCCAAATGAGGTAGAAAAAAGCTAGTTTTGTGTCCTTACCTGTTGTTTCGTTTTTATTTTTATGATATGCTCCACTCTCATTTTTGGAACATGCAGTGTGGTTTTCTTTCAATGTAAGTTATTGAAAGAATGAACTTACAATTTACTCTTATGATTTCTGCCTTTTTAGTAAGAAAATTATTTTTAACTCAAGGTTTGCGAATAGGTATAGAGCTAAAAATCTTATGAATTTGAAGCTATAGTTGTATTAAATCCAATTGTTCAAATAGACTAATGAAACTTAATTCAACCTTCATTTCCATTTGTAACAAGGTTTTTGTCTTCTGTGTTATGTAACAGGCTTACCAGGATTCAACAAAGGAGAAACGTCGTGCACAAATTGCCCAAGGTTGCTTTTTTCTTTACATATCCATTAATTGATTATTTTTAGGATAATTTCTGAAAGTAATTTAAAATGATACGCATGTCTTTCTCAGAACATGTAGTAATTGAGGCAATAGATGACCTTTTGTAGTACCTACTGATTTTCAAAGAAGAGGATTTTAAATCTTTGTGAATTGCAACAGTGTGATGGTGTTGCTACTATCAGTCCATTGTTTAATTGCTGCATCTATTAACCTAGTGGATGAGCATACCTTTAAGTTTTGATTAATGGTTATTGAGGCAAGCATATCCCTTTCATTGCAACTTTAAATCTTGGAAATTCTTAAGGATATAATTTTTAGTCCAATTCCATTCAAAAAAAACTCCAGTGATATATAGGGAAAAATGGCAGAAGGAAATGTCCTTTAGTATTTGAACTCCATTGATTTTTTTTGTTGTAAAATATCTTCGTGCTTCCGTACATTTGGGATCTACTAAATTCAGTCTCAGTCCTGGAGATGTTAAAATCAAGTCATTATACAGTTAGGATTGAATATAGCAAGTGGATCATTGTCAATGGAAGGGATATAACATATGAACTGGACTTGTATTGTACAATTGTTAATAGATTTGCAGATTTACATCTTAATTTAAATTCATTTTCAGTATGCTTGAATGGACTTTACAGTTGAGTTGATGATTTATCCTTTTGAATTTCAGCCATTGCTGCCGAAGTGAGCGTTGTGCCACCTTCTCGTTTAATGGCTTTGATTGGTCAAGCTTTAAAGTGGCAGCAACATCAAGGTATTTTTTGTTGAATAGAAATAAGCCTTACTTGTTAGTTTATTGTTGATTTGATACATATAATTTCTCTTTCTCATCTATTTAGTTCTTTATTAGTCATTTGGACATCTGTAGTGTCTGAGTTTTGAAGTCGTACTCAACAACTCAATCGTGCACTAAATAGTAATTTTATTTTAACCAAATATGCCCTAGAAGTTTTATTTGTAGATATTCAAAACTTATTGAAGTTAAGAGTTACAATGCTGGTAGATACACACATATGTATCATGTATTTAGTGTTTTGCACATATGTTTAGGAGTGTGTGCACATTCAGGGATTGCTCAAGATAAAGTGCTAAAAGATTGTTGGGAGGGTTTATAAAATGATTATGCACATTAGAGGCATGTGCCGTTTTAACTAGAGTGTGAATGCTATACTTGCACTAAAGACAAACTGTGCAAAGTATTCAAACATAAGAAAGATTCAGAAAGTAACCATGGCTACCGGATACTTTATTCATCCAAAATTTTTCTAGTTTGAAATAGAACAGAAAGATTCATCATAGTGCAAGGGGAAAAGGATAGAAAAGTGAAAAATAAATAGAAGATGCCTAGAGGTACGAGCTTGAAGATTTGTAAAGAAATGGAACTTAAAACCAAAGAGAGTGGTATGAGAAATAGAAATATTTCATTCACGTACGAGGTGCTAGAAAGCAAACTTGAAATTGAACTGAATATAAAAAGGAAAGTTAAAGAAAGTTGGGGAGAAAAGATTTTGAAAAGATCATGTTAAATTGGAGGAAAAAGGTGTTTACTTTCGGGTTTCTAACAAGTGTAATAGCCTAGTTATTCTTTTTTAGCATGTTTGATTTGGGCATATGTTGAATCTGATGAAAACAGATTCGTTTTCTATTTTTCTATATTAAAAAATTCTACAAGAATGAGTCTTTAAATAGACTCCAGTACAAAGAGGTTTACTCTTGAAAAATGTCCTATAACTATACAAATCCTATCATTTTAAAATAAGGATAATTTAAACTAATTAGATTTATCTACTGGAAATAACAAACTGTAACAACCTTATCTTATTTACAACTCACAGCATATGTTTTATGTTGTTTGTTGGTTCATCATTCATCCTGTCCTTTCCAGGTTTGCTTCCTCCAGGAACACAATTTGACTTATTTAGAGGAACAGCTGCTATGAAACAAGACATAGATGACATGCATCCAACAACCTTATCACATACAATCAAGGTAAGCGTTATGGTCCCATGTTTGAAGCTTGTTTGCTACTTGCTTTTATTGGTTTTTCTTGATGTCGTTTTATTTTGGTTGTTAGCTTTTTTTAAATCAAAGAAAAGTTGAGTACCTAATTGGACATTCTAAAGTATTTATATATAACAATTGAACATTTTTAATTATCCATAAATACGAGCTTTGTTCTGATTCAGGAAGTTGAATGCTTTTGCTATAGATTTCTTGGACCGTGAATGGTTGCATTTCTTTTTGTAACTAGTCTTTTGATACATTTTTCTGCCATATTTTTCTTATAAAACGATTAATTCCTGGCCCTGTTTTTTCCTCCTCCAGTTTGGGAAGAAATGTCATGCAGAATGTGCTCGATTCTCACCAGATGGGCAATTTCTTGTTTCTTCTTCTGTTGATGGTTTTATTGAGGTTTGATATCTTCGAAAAGGAAAAGCTTATCCAATAATGAGAATTATATTGATGAACCTTCATTGTGTTTACTTTTTTGTTGTTAAAAGGTCTGGGATTACATAAGTGGGAAGCTCAAGAAGGATCTTCAATACCAAGCTGATGTAAGTACTTTGTTTATATAGATTATTTCATTTTTTCTTTGATTAGTGTTACTGACCGGAAAGACTACTCACTGAAAACAACCAATTCCAGTTTCTAGCTGTGAGCCTGTGATGGTTATACTGATTTCTGTGTTTGTTGTTGGTACATTATGGAAGGATTACCTTTTCCCATTTTCTTCCACTTGTGTTTTGTCTGTCATTTATTTCTTGGTCAATAGAAAAGGTATTCATCTGTAGGTCGGTCTTTCTTCTTGTTACTTTATGGAATGATTACTTTTGTGCGATTGCAGTATCTTGATATATTCTGATTAATAAGTTAAATTATGCATATATGTTTTCATTTATATCTACCACTGATATTAGCAAAAAAGCATCTTATATATGATTATGTAGAGTGTACTTATTTTTTATGTTAGGTCATTTTTTTAACATTTGTGCTATTACTGGCATACCATCACAGGAAACTTTCATGATGCATGATGATCCTGTACTCTGTGTTGATTTTAGCAGAGATTCAGAGATGATTGCATCTGGGTCACAAGATGGAAAAATAAAGGTAATCTTAGTTGCATATGCTTTAATATATATTCTTAGTCATTTTTCCTTTGGGTAATGAAGAGTCTGTTCCTAATTCTTTGCGATCTTTGTTAATCATCTGTCACTTCTTTTGAAATGCATGTTGTCTAATGAAAAATTTTGTAAGAAGTCTGAAAGAATTAGTAGTTTCTCCGATTGTATAATATCAGTTCTACTTGGTATTTTAATGGTTGCTTGACATTATTCAGTCAACTTTGGGTCCAATGAATCTTATCTTTTGATGGTTTTAGTACTTTCTGATCTTTAAGTGTTGCTTCCTCTGCTTTCCATGTTTCCCTTGTTTTATAGTGTTTTCATTTGCTTAAAACACTTGTGTGCAATGCTAAGAATGATTTGTATTAAGGGGATTTCAACTCTTGTAATGGTTCAAAATGTAATATTGCAACTCCTTTTGCAATGAGTTAGTGACAACACCACAGCTAGAGTGACTGTTAGCTACTGGATGACAAACACTAAACAATGGGAACTCTGCTACCATGCCAAGAACATCAGTAGCTGAAAAGAATTTTGAAACTTTGGTTTTCATTCTTGGCCCAGTTAACAGATGCCTATAGGCACTAATTAAAGATACTTAAATTACTGTTTTAAGGAAGGTTTTCACATTTAATTCACCATTTTCACCAAATTCTAGAGGGAACAATACATTAATTATTGCGAGTTTATCAGATGTACCTGATGCTATACCTTTTATTGAAGCTAGTTGAATTACGTGTCGGCATTCCAGTTTTTGTCAATGTTGCGGCATTCTTTCTTTCTAAAATTGATTGCCATTGGTTTACAGTTGGAACTTAATAAAAGTCATGCAGGTAAGATCTGATTTGTAACTTTTTATTTTTCAGGTTTGGCGCATAAGAACAGGTCAATGCTTGCGCCGTCTTGAACGTGCACACTCTCAAGGTGTGACAAGTCTTGTCTTCTCTCGTGATGGAAGCCAGTTACTAAGTACATCTTTTGATAGTACTGCAAGGTTCTAATAAATGGGCACCTCCCTTACAGATACTCTTTTATGTCAAATTTAAGTATTTGCATACAAAGCAAGCAGTTAATAGAACTATTTGTTTTTTGTAATCCATTACCACCAATTGTTTTTCATTTGTTTGTATTTAGTTAACTGTATCATTCTGAAATTCTCATGTCCATCAGTTACCTGAATGTTTCTCCTCATCCTTAGTTGTGACATATTAATGTTATATGCCAAATCCGACCTTCTCTGATTGCTTCTTTCTACCCACCCTTTATTCTTTATTACTTTTTCTTTTTGCGGTGCAGAATCCATGGATTGAAATCTGGAAAGTTGCTCAAAGAATTCCGTGGGCATACATCTTATGTGAATGATGCAATATTTACAGCTGATGGAAGTCGTGTTATTACTGCCTCCAGTGACTGCACTGTGAAGGTAAATACTCTGTACATGTATTTTCAGTCACCCCTCTTTTAATCGTTTCTTTGATGTATAACTGATCATGCTGCCTATTATAGGTGTGGGATGTAAAAACAACAGACTGCCTGCAAACATATAAACCACCGCCTACTTTAAGGGTATTCTTTCTCAATAAAATTGGCTTGTATTATTATATCATTTATGTTGCTTTTCCCTTGATACCTTTGCTTTATACCTTTTATTGGTAGGGTGGTGATGCTTCAGTGAATTCAGTTCATCTTTTCCCAAAGAACACAGATCATATTATTGTTTGCAACAAGACATCGTCAATATACATCATGACACTTCAAGGACAGGTAAGTTCTTTAGGGATTTTGCTCCTGTTAACTTGATTTTACGTTGTTATGATTTCACTTAAGTATATTTCTCTTGTTATTACATTTATGATTGCCCCATCTTTCTTCTCATCAAAGGAAACTCATAATCTGTCCAGTGGAATGGAAATGAACTCGTATAATCATACTTTATTGTGTTGCAGGTTGTGAAAAGTTTCTCATCTGGTAAAAAGGAGGGTGGAGATTTTGTGGCTGCCTGTGTCTCACCAAAAGGTGAATGGATATATTGCGTGGGCGAGGACAGGTACTACTTGAAAAAAATCCTTTTTATGAAATATAAGTTTTAGATTGTAAAGATTACAGGCCTAATCAACCTGTAAAACCTCCAGGGGAAGGGGATATCTTCAACCACCTGTTATTTTGCTTGATAAGAACACGACTATGGAGTTTTAGCTCCGGAACTTGATGTGTTTATTATTAATGTAGATTTTGTCACAGCTTATTTTGGTAAATGACAAAAGAAAATTGAAAGTACCCATGTCAGAGTCGGGTGTGTTCGACATGTGTGTCTTCACTTTTCATAAGTCTTTCCTGTATCTGTAGGATCGTCTTATCTCCATGCTGATGTCTAGATATGTGTTAGATACAAATATCAGACATGGGTTCTTCAAGATAAATTATGAGTTGGAGCAACATATTCAAGACTTATGATTGCACTTAACTAATCTATCTATCGGTGGATATGATTTTTCCATTTATCAAGTAAAATGTGCACCCATATTGATAAGAGCAATATCTTGGTTGTGAAGTCCGGGTGCAGTTATAACATTCAATCATTGGTGTCTTCTATTGGAAACATATAATTGGCTGCCACCTGATTAACAAGATTTGTACCTTCTTGCTATTAATGTTATGTAAATTACTTGATTAACGATGGCTTTAAGAATTATGTATTTTTTCAATTTCTTTTTCCTTTTTATTTTATTTGTAATAATGCCTGCAGGAATATGTACTGCTTCAGCTATCAAACTGGAAAATTAGAGCATCTAATGACGGTAAGCTCTCTATTTGAGGCTATGTTCACCTTCTCCACACTTTTTAAAGTATTATCTTCCTCCTTTAAAATTCTAAAAGCGGTTGTTTTCTTCCATCCTTCTACCTAAATCTCAAACAAACTTGTCTACAATTCTCTGTTATTCGAACTTTCAATTTCTTTTTTCTTAAAATGTTCTCATTGGACGCATATATTAACATGGGCATGAGGGAATGATTCTTCAAATATTTGAAAAAACTTTTAAAAAATTGGAGTATACGCTTGTCAGACATGTACCTGCATACAGCACCCGTCTCAAAGCCAAGTACTGTAGGCAGAATTCAATTGTAAACAATGTTGGATTTCACGATTGGTCACATGAAAATGGGATATCCATGTAGCATATGGGTAGTTTTAGAGTTTTGCTTCATGTTGAAATATAAGATTTACTGTATATTAGTTAATAACATTGTGTGTGTGTTTCTGATGTGAATGGCATTGACAGGTCCATGAAAAGGATGTAATAGGCATCACACACCATCCTCACAGGAACCTTGTAGCTACCTATGCTGAAGATTGCACCATGAAATTATGGAAGGCTTGAAATTTAGTTATGATTATCGAATTTCCGTAAAGCTGTCGTAATCAAGTCGGGTTCCCTTTGGGAACACACTATTTCTTTGTTCTGTAACTTACTATTTAGATAGAATAGACAGTGTGTTCACTGTATTAGTAGACTATTTTATTCGTAGACTGTTTTATTCAGATTCAGAGTTGTCTGGTATACACTAAATTTTAAATTTTTTTATAACACGTTTCATATATTTTTTAATATTGGTATTTTCAGAGTTGTTATAACACGTTGAATTAAGAATGTACAAGTCAAAATGGGATATGACTAGGAGATACAATATTAACAGAGCATGTGAAGAATTTGTATGGTGGTGTGATGGATATATTTTGTACATGTATTACATGGATACGAAAAATAAAAAGATTTGATGTTCTAATCGTGTTATCTAGTTTAACACAATTCTATAATCACGCCCCAAACTTGGTTTAACATTTCCATTGCTCCTCAATGTTTGAATTGTGATTTGGTTAATTGCAGCTGATATGCCGTTAAAACAAGTTCATTTTCATTCATCAACTCTTAATTTAGAATTTATGGGAAATTCCAGTCACTATTCACTAACTGTGTAAGGGCCCAAGGAATCTAGCACGTAAATACAAAAGAGTTGTTTCCTTCGGTGCCCATTTCTCGCTTTCGACCCACCATAAATGAAGGGCTGGAATTGTCTCAAAAATCCTGATTGTTCTCCCTTGTTTCCTTCTCCATTTTCGTTGTTTTCTCTCTGTCATGGAAGTGAAGCTCAGCCATAAAAGACATTTCTTGCTCTCAAAATCTCCTCTTTCGGACCATACAAAAGCAAGCTTCCCTCCTCGCACCTTGCAGTTTAAACCCTGGGCAGCTGCTGAAATCCAACGGTTTCAAGGCCTGGTGAAGGTTTTTCTTTCTCTTCCCGCACCACCGTTTCCGTAAGAAATATAGTTACTTTACTAGTAGGATGTCTTTTTGTAGGCTTTGCTCAAGCGGATGATTTGGTTTCTTGGTGGCAGAAATGGAGATTACAGAACGAGACAAAGGACTATTCCTGCGCTCATGCAGTGAAAGGGTTAAACGAAACTCCTTTAGCCCCTTTTCCTTAAACTCTGGCTTTTGGTCATTTTTTAGAATTCAAAGGTGAAAAGTTTGTAATCTCAACTGCAGGGGTGAAAATTTGTCTTCCATTTCAAAGATGTATGGGGTGTCTGTCCATTCAATTGCAGCTGCTAATAAGAACATAATGCATATTGACCTCGTCTTCCAAGGCCAGCTCCTTAACATCCCTGCTCCTTCCCTTCTAGACACTGAACTTGTAAGTACCATTATTCGATTTTGTTGAGCTATTAGCATATTCTTTCCTGTTTCAAAAATTGTAATGCTCTAGCGAATTAACAAGGCAGCATTGTAGTTTGGACTTAATTTAAAGCTTGTAGCCTGAATTGTGTTGAGTAACGCTTGGATTTCAATCAGATTTTTGTTGAAATTTACCTTGGTCGTGTATGTTTTCTTTTCGGCTAATCAGGACCGAGTCAAGAAAAATAGGTTGTTGCATTCCATCCGTGCACTTAAAGCTCCTTCAGGGAAAACATTGTTCACCGTGCTAACTTCACATCGTCTATCTAAAGTAAGTCTGTTTATAAAAACCATCACAGTGGTATTCCATGATTATGCAAGCTCAACAGGCTTTCCCACTCTATTAGCAGGCTAAATCCACTGGTTATTTTCTAGTTGCGGTTCCTCTTATAGCGTTTTGCATCGGATGTGTAATCAGTACCTTTCTCACAAGAGTTTCCAGAGGCATAAGACAGCAAGCTGTTGATAAGTCTCTAACACTTCATCATGGGGCAAAAGGCATGCGATGGAAGTCTGCCCTCAGTGACACTGTGGAAGGAAATGTTTTCGATTCCAAATCAGGTCTTGATTCTATAGTAAGTACTCAGTTCAACATGTAGTAGATGTGCACGGGTTTATATTGCTATAACTGATTACTGGTATAGCTTCATACTGCTGCCCCTTTGAGATTACAACTGTTTCAAAAAGAAAGCCTGTTTTGATGTGCTTGCTAAGGTGACCATATGATCTTATGTTGACATGAGTGACCATGAAAAAGGATAGCATCCATATAATGTGGCTTAGAACCCTCAAAACTATAACTTTGAATTGCAAGCAGAGCAGGTAAGTAACCCATAGGAAGTTAAAAAAAAAAAGTCTGCAAAACCAGAAACACCAGGTCTGCTGCATTGTTTTGCACCTCCTGTTGTTAAAATCATTCAGTATGGAGAAGCCCGAACCTGCCAATCAGCAATGACAAGCCCTACTGAATGAGCTTGCTAGAGATCAAAGAAAATTAAACAATAGACACAATAGCAGTGCACATAAAGAGCATTAGCAATCATAATATAGTTATTGTTTCTTTATTTGTTTGATAGCCAAAAGGTATCTGCTAAAATTGGGGTCGGATGCGAAGTTAATTTTGAACTTTTGTGCAGGGTCCTTCAGAAGATGAAGCATACATCCAGTATGAGGAGGCACCTGACGATTATGGTAGACTTGAACATGATTATCAGAAATTTCTTTCAGAATGTGGCATTACTGATTTTGGATATTGGCGGGATGCTTCTCCTGGTCCCTGACTGGACCTGAATCCACCTCTGAGATACCTGTACAGAGCTATAGTGATTTTGCCTTGCTTTGCACGTTTTTTTTGCTGGGCCTTTACTTGTGGGTTCAGTCTCAACCATTTGGCTTTTTGGCAGCTTTGACGTGGTTTGCAGTCATGTCGAAATATGGTGATTAAAACAGTTAAAACTATCCATTTATCAACTGGAAACTAATCTCTTTATATGATCATTTTGGCAAATTTATACTTAAAAACATATTTGTAATATAAAAAATGATTATTTGATATTTTAGTGGTGTAATTTGTTGATTCTACAATATAAATAGTACATAATCGAAGTACCATAGCCACGTGCATTTTATTTTAATTTGGCTCAATTAAAGTATTATTAAATTTATTAATTCTTTCTCCCTCAATAGAAACATAAAATTAAACAAGACAATGGTGGCTCAACTGGAAACGAGAGTAACCATTCACTGGACATTTTTTGTTCAAATAAGGATTTAATTGAATGGAAAGATCAGCTTAGGGGCTAATCAGCTGGATTCATTTTCCAAACTAAATTCGAATAGTTAATTTCAGATATCAATACAAAATTTTATGTCAAGATATAAATTTTTAAAATTATATTAAAAATTAAGAGATAAAAAATTATAGAATTTAGGAAGTGTTTTCACATCGGAACACTCTTTCATAATTCATCCATGATTAACTCGAGTAAAAAAAAACTAGTAAACTGAATCCATTCATTTCACCCTTGTTATTACAAAAAATAGAATACTAAGAAGAAGAGAAATAAAAAAGGAACACAGATCCCTGTGTCTGTAATGAATTCAAGGGCAAAAGGGCCTGCCGGAGCGAGCCCTGTGACTAGGAATGTTGAAATGCCTGATCCTTCCCTGTTGCTCCCTCAAGTATCCTTCACAAAGAAAAGCCTTGGAGAATTTATCCTCCACCACCCTGTCCACGTCGTGAACGAACACATCGGTGTCCCCTTCTTCTCGGTTCCTAGCCATCAACCCCGCCGTGTAAATGGCATTCATTCTCCCGGGGGCTTCGTCGTGGAACCCCGTCGGGGCATCCACCATGATCACATTCCATTCCACGTCGTAAATCTCATTGGGGAACCCTTTGAGAGCAAGCTCACACTTGGAGAATCTAGGGTCTCCCACCACTTTACATTCCTCCTCCTTCATCCCCGTCTCCATCAGGTCATCTGCTTGCTGAACTTTGGTCACGTACTCCACGTGGTAAGACTCTAGGCTCGGAAGTTTCCCCTTGATCTGTTCGATCCAGGCCTTGTCTTCTTCGAGGAAAACGGTTCGACCGCCGTGGTTGAGAGATGTCCACATCAGACTATCGTGTCCTAACCCGAACACCAAGAAGTTGCAAGGCGATCTCTTGTCTAAAACCCTGGCTGAAACAGAGATCTCCTTGAGGGTTTGTTGTGGGGTGATGTTTGTGGTGGCGTAGTGGATGAGGGCATTGGCCAGAGACGGTGGGGTTTTGTTGCATGTTGGCGTCAAAGGAAGTGATGGGCATGCTACTGCCTTTGACTCGCTCTCGTCGACTGGATCTGTGGAGTTTGAGATGTGGGACTCTGAAATGGGTGATGTTTGTGGTTTGGAAAAGGAAGAGTTGGTGGTGATGAGGAGGAGGAAGAGAAGAACGGAAGCGCATATGAGGACGAGCTTGATGTTGAAAGGAGATTGAGATTTGGAGTTGGTGTTGCTGTTGCTGTTGGACCTCATTGTTGTTGGCTTCGATTCCTTTTCGTGGCTTTCACAAATTTTCTTTGGTAGTGAAACGAAAAGGTATAGAGAAATGGAGTTAGAACTCAGAAGGGAAAAGGCTAGCTTGGAGTTATTATATGGGTTGATGATGCTGATGACATTTTCAGCTTAATTTTTAAACTAAATATATGTATATGGCTGATGGGGTAAGTACTAAGTAGACAAGGAATTATGATTTTTTTTCCTTACAGAAAATGGCTATTTACTAGATAATTAATTAAAAATATTTTTAAAAATTATATTTTGAATTAAACGAACTTAGTTCAGTTTGTAAACTAACTAAAAATGCAACACCCTAGACCAGTAAGACATATAGTCGACCGATCTAGAGTGCTACACGGAACCTAAAGTGGCTTATCAACTTTTTCTTACTCTCTTTAATTACAAAACAACTGCAAAATAAACTGAAAAATAAATAAAATCTTTACACTGAGGAGCTCAAAATTAAAATATTTACTCTTTACAAGAATATTACAGACCAACATGACTGAATCTACGATTCAACTGGATAATAATGTTTACAAATATACATGCCCTTTCAAAAATGCTGAGACATACATCTGATCTGCACTGGACTGGTTTGGACCTTGGTTTATCTATTGTTTCCCAACTGCTTGATCTACTAACCTGCCCACGGAAACATCCGAAGGCTGAGCTAACTAGCTCAGCGACACACTAAAAGATGAAACATACTAACTGCATATCACTGAAAGGCTGGCTATAAAGTCTACTGATCTGATCTGCTTAGTGAATATCCTTGCAATACTCACTCTTTACGCTACTGTAGACATCATGGTGCGGCTGAGGGATTTCTGAATCTCAGAGCTCACAGACCCCTATATTATACTGAGATATGGCCTCCGAAATTCTGCATCAGACACCATAGCTCTCTCTGACTAACTCACCCATTGCGAGTGTCAGGCCACAACCCTAGTTAGTCGATTTTAAGGGTCTTGCACCCTACCTAAGGATATATCCGGACTGCATCTATACTTTCGACTCCACTAGCTTTTCTAAAGGAACTCGAGTGTCCGAATCGTTTCCCGAGCATTAAACAAGGCTAGTCTTATTTGTCCCTAATTATTTGTTTTCTAAGTCTGAATTAACATTAATATTGTTCCACTTGTAGTATTATTTGATGATATATTAAAGTGTTGGGGTACCTTGAGTCTAATTCCCTTAAAAACTAACCTTTTTGCCTAAAACAAATTGAAAGTATCGATACTACTGCAAAAGTTTCAATACTTTATATAAGTACCTATACTTTTAAACATTCTGTTCTGCCTAGTTTCAATACTTTCTGGGAGTTTGTTGAAAACATTTTGATGTTCCGATATAACAAATAAAGTGTTAATGAATTTTAAGATTTTATATTGAATTTTAAAGTATATTCGATTAAATTATTCGAATATCACAAAAATTACACCAAGTTTTTCAAAGGTCAATCTCAATCCTTACTAAAGTGTAAAATTGTGTTTCAATCTTAAAATATTTTTGAAACAATTTTTACAAAGTATTTCAAGCCTTAATTGAGCTAAGAATAAGTTTTAAATAAGGAGGTATCGATACCCCTCCTAGAGGTACCGATACCCCTATGTCAATTTTGGTTACTAGAAAAACAGAATGCCCAATGGGTATCAATACCCCCTAGAGGTACCGATACCCTTGTGCCAATTTTGGCTCCGAGAAAAATAGAATGCTCAATGGGTACCAATACCCCCTTAGAGGTATCGATACCCCTAGTCATTTAACGGTCGAAATATTTGAATTTTACACTGCATGTACCGAAACCCCTTGAAGGGGTACCGATACCCCACACTCCCAGCAGCCTTTTTCAAGAGGATTTCAACACTACAACGGCTCTAACATCACACCAAATGATTCACAACGGCTAGAATCAATCCAAGGTGTATTTAAACAAGTTCTGAAGCCATTGATCAAGAAGATTTTATTGAGAAACAAGAGAGAAAGATTCATTTTGCTTTCAAGAACACATATTGTGCTCATTTGTAATCATCTTTGAGTGTTCTTTTCTTGTTCTAGAATTGTGCAAACATCTTGCATTGTGAGGTTTTTTCTATAAGTTTGCAAAATTTGTGTATTTCTCTTTGGGAGAGAGTGTTCTCAAGAATTTGGGGTATAATTCTTGAGGGAGTTGTAAGGTTACTCTTTGTCCTCAAAAGAAAGAACAAATTAGTGAATTTGTTGGAAAATCCTTAGTGTGGATAGCTAAGGTAGTGAACGTAGACTTTGGTTGAGAAAGTCGAACCACTCTAAATCGCTGTGCAAATATTTTCTATTTTCTGCAAAAGCTTCCACCAAAATTTTAATTGCCAATTCACCCCCTCTTGGCTATTTCGTCGATCGATTAACTCAACAGAGTTTCGAAACTATGACCCAAAGTTTCGATACTCTTGTAAGATTTTCGATTCTCATACCCAAAAAACTCATTTTTACCCCAAAACGAAGAACAAGTATCGATATTATCCCTATAGTATCGATACTTTACCTGTAGAAGCCATAAAAAAAGCACGAAAACATCTATTTTTCAAACCCAAATACCCTAGTGAGGTCCCCAAACGTTCTTAAAGTCTTATTTGATATTAAAAGAGCATAAATAAGGCTTTAATACATACTAAAAACATAAAACATAAAATCTACCATGAAAATCTACTAAACATGCTTAAACTAAACTATTAAGCTAAACCTCTTTCAAATGATTCTACAATTGGTATGGAAAAGCTAATAGTGTGTTACTTGGATTCTTTGGATACTAGAATACTTCTTGAATCAACTAGGGTTCACTCTTCCTTTTCCCTTGGCTTGAACTCTCTCTTCAACCTCTTTAACTAATCAAGCTATAAAAATAGATTACTTACTTAACTAGGTGTTGGATAAAGCTTAGATACACTCCCTACAACTCCAACACTCTCGTAAAATGAATTAAAACACTTGATTTCTAAAAACCCATAAAAACTCATTTTTGAAAAACTAAGCCAAACCTTGAAATTAAGGGCTCTAATGGAAGCTTAGAAGATGAAGAATCGATTTCTTACCTTGATTACTTCAATCTAGGCTTAGGTTTCTTTAGAGCTTGATCTTGGCTAAGTTGAAGAAATGAAGAAGAGTATGAAGAAGAAGAAAATGGGAATATATTTTTGGGGAATTACTACCGTGAAAAATAAGAGAGATAAGGGGCTTTTTAACCTTTAAAACAAGCTACGGGTAAACTATACTTTTAGTCCTTCTCCCTTTAACTTATTTTTAAAAACACCACTATCCTTTAATTATTGGGTCAACCTAAGTTCAATACCTTTTTTGAATTGGTTCAACTATCTTAAAAGGTCTAATTAGCTTGACTTACTGATTTCGGATTAACCGAAACTACTGACCCGTGTTCCGGGTCATTACAAAAAATTCCAAGCCTTTTGTAATTTTTTTGTTTAACATACATATAACATGTGCATAGGCTATATAATATTATTATACATGATTAAAAGAACTAAAAATAACATGACTGGTTGAATTAATAAGAAAAAAAATACATCATTATTACTCTAACGACAATTATTAATTATATTAATTATAATTGATCGTACATTTATTATAAACACAACAAAAATAGTAATATGGAGAATACGTGAGCATATATAAATATGATAATATATATGGTAAACATTTATAAGACGAAAAGCTAATATGAAATACAACGTGGGTACATACACAAATATAGAATAAAAATTAAATTTGAGATATTAGAGTAGAAGGAAGGGAAGGTGGTTATGATTTTGATAGGAAATCTACTGAGGTTGTTGTTGCTGTCTCTGTTGGGCTGTTGGCTGTTGGGTACACATAAAAAAGAAAGGGTTGCTAAAGTCGTGGGTTCAATCAATTCCATTAATTTTACTTTATATAGTTTCTTATGTTCGCAAGTCGTTGGAGGGGTGACGGTCCAATGACTACTTCTAGAAAAGCAAATTTATCGATCAAGATTTGATGTGCACACTGCACAGATAAATAATATTATTTTTATTTTAATTGATATATTTTAGGTTTAATCTCAAATAATTTTTTTATATAAGAATTTAAAATATGGATCGGTCGGAATTTTATTATTTTATATGATTCAAGCAATATAATTATTTTCTTTTAGTTAAAATAAAAAAGTATTTTTAACTTTTTAAAATTTAATTAAATCCTTAATTTTTAGTTTACATTTCAGTCTCTTTCTTTCATTTTTAATTTGTATCCAAATAAATTTTTAACATGTTATCAAATAAATCATGATAGTTAAATTACACGTCAAAATAAATCAACACCGAATTAAAGTAATAATTTATAAAGATACAGGTCAAAATATAAAAATACATTTGGATTAATCAAAAACTTATTTTATTGAAAATAAAATAAAATAATTTAAAGATTTAAACCTAACATGATAGTTTAATGTTTAAGAAAGCACAAGATGAGCTGGCGTCCAAGTACAGTAGTTGAGTCGAAAGGGAGTCCCATGCTACTTATGTTACCCTTCAAGTTTGGACTTTGGAACCCTAATTATTAATAATATTCTGTTCCAAATAATATCACCTTGCTTTTCTGTCATATATAAAGAGTTCAATTTCTTATATAATAATAATAATAATAATAATAATAATAATAATAATAATAATAATAAAAGGTTAGCATTTGCTTCTATTTTTTTATATTACAAAATATATATTATTTTATTTTAAAACTTTGATGGAAATGAATAGAATAAAATCTCAAAACTCAAAATTAATATAGAAAAATCAAAAATCAAAATCAGTGAATTACTAAAAATAAAATAAAAAATGGAACGGAGGCCAGTCATATATACTCCTACTGCCCTTAACTTGTAATGGAAATGAGGCGCTTATTGCTCCGTTTCGAATGGAAGAGTTTAAGGAAGCAATTATGGGATGCATACCGACTGACAAGGCATCGAGACCGGATCCAACTTTCTTTCAAAAGAATTGTTTAGTGATCAGAAAAGATATATTTTTCTCAAGCATGTGTTTGGCTTGCTGCCTGTGAGTTGCCTGAATGGTGCTCATATATCATTTTAATTTCGAACAAGACTTGAGCGAAATTGCATACAAGATTTGCAATGCAGTGTACAAGTAATAGCCAATCGACTTAAGACCATTCTTCCTAGTATTCTCTCTTCATTGGACTTGTTGGGACCGTCTTTTTGTCCCTAAGAAGTTTGGCGGTTTAGGCTTTTGAAATCTTCATTGCTTCCATGCTTGGTAAGCAAGAAGCTTCAAGACCTATTGTATAAGGGTGTTCATTCGGTTAAAACGGTGGCCAACCGAACCGAATTACCACTAACCTAATTAACTAAACTTTTTTTCATTTAATCGAACCGAACTTTTTTTTGAAAATATTAACTGAACCGAATAAAATTCGGTTAATTTTTGAATTAACCGAAATTTTTTAATTTTTTTAATTTATATAAAAATTGAATATTTTTTTAATTCAAAAAACAATTTACAATTAATTTAAATAATATATAATTATAAAATAAAAATTTTATATGGATTTTTTAATTAATTAATATTGATTTAGGTTTAAAAGTTATTGAATCTTAAATTATTAATTGGATTTTAAATGATTTAGGCTGAACCCATATGTTATATATAATATATTTAATATTTAATTTCGATTAATTAACCAATTTCGATCGGTTAATTTGGTTAAAACCAAAAAATGAACACCCCTACTATTGTGGAAATTGAGTCTACAGTTAAATATTTTCATACAGGTTGAATTGTTAGAAACTATGGAGAGTTGTAATGCTTTATTTTTTATTTTTGTCTGGAAGAGTATTTATGCATGCGGCAAAGGAAATTATACTCGCTGGTTGCACGCTGGAGAGACGGTAAGTAATGGTTCGACTTAGGATGGTCCAGGTCGGGTCGGGTTTCAATCAACTCAATCCGACCCAAAAATCCTACTTCCTCCATCCGACCTGAACTCGACTTAACTTTTTGACATAAAATTCGAACTCTACACGATCCGAAATAATATATTTATAAAAAAATATTATTTTTATTCAGTAAAAATAAAAATTTAATTGAAAAAAATAATATATAGATGTATTATTGTAATTATATCTAAATATATAAGGTAAAATTATATTTTTTTTGGGTCGGGTTGAGTCGGGTATTTTTCACCCTAAACCTGAACTCGATCCGACCCGAATATAACTTTTAAAAAATCCGACTCAAACCCGACTTGAACCCAAACTTTTTTTTTTTTTAACGATAAGATCAAGTCAAAACCGTTGAATTCAGGTATCATGCTCATCCCTTCAAATATTGAGGATTTTGGGTCAAGGATGGAAACAGTTTGTTGGTCCAATCCACACCCTTGGATGGTATGAAGGGAAGGATCTGATATCAGACGACGGGTACACTTGGAAATACGAATTTCATTGATCGTATCTTCAATTTCACGCATTTATTTTCCAATGTGAAAAAGTGACCAAACTGGTAGGCATTTGTTTAACATTAAAGAAATCTGGCCCCACTTGTTCAGCAACTTTCCGACTAGTGAAACAGTAGTCAAATTGATAGTACTGGTCCAACACATATTCAATAATTTGATGATGCCAAAAGCCATTAGTGGGTTGTTTGGGAGTTTAGACAGGGTATTGGTATACAAGTAAAGACTTGACGTTCTGTTTGAATTGAAAGCGAGATGGCCGAGATAGCTGTGGGTATGGTTCTGGAGCAGTTAATTTCATTCCTTGGTGCAGAGGTGAAACTTTTTGGAGGGCTTAAGAAACAAGTTGAAGACATCATGATTGAGCTGGAGTATAGTGCTTGTTTCCTTAGAGACGCGGATTCAATGGCAGAAAAAGAGGATACCAATGGAGGCTTGAAACTGTGGGTCAAACATGTACGGGAAGTGGCTTACCAGATTGAAGATGTCATGGATGAATACATGCTTTATCACGTTACTCAACACCGCCAGCAAGGTTTAATGGCGGCTTCCTTGGCCAAAATAGTTCACCTGGTCAAGACCGTGAAACGGCAACGTCGAACAGCGTCAAAGATAAGAGAGATCAAAACACGCTTTGTTGGAATCAAGGAAAGAAGTGAAAGATATGGGTTTAAATTCAACACCATGCCAAGTGTTCCATTCGATGGTATCGAGAGCAACAACAGACGACAAGTAAATCCTCGAATGGGGCTGCATTTTATCGACAGTGAAGCACTCGTAGGGATCGATTCTTCTCTAAAAGAGTTGGCCCATAGAGTGGCAGATGCAGAGCTCAGACGCATGATTGTTTCGGTGGTGGGGATGGGAGGGGTCGGAAAGACGACCCTTGTTAAGAGAGTTTTCGATGATCAAGTCGTGGCAGGACACTTTGACTGCCATGCTTGGATCACGGTGTCTCAATCATACAAGGTTGAAGCATTGTTAAGAACCATGCTGAGGCAGATGTACGAGTCTCGAAAGCAGTCGCCACCCGTTAGTGTTGGCACAATGGATGGTGTGGAGTTGATAAGCAAATGCAGAGACTATCTGTATGATAAAAGGTACATCGTTGTGTTTGATGATGTATGGGAGGAACTTTTTTGGCGAGATATGGAACATACTTTATTGGATAATAACAAAGGAAGTAGGATCTTGATGACAACAAGAAATATGAACGCTGCTGACTTTTGCAAGAAATCTTCACTTGTCCATGTCCATAATTTAGAACCTCTTCCATTGGAACTAGCCCAGGAGCTTTTATGCAGAACTGCTTTCCTGAATGATGAAGATAGACTATGCCCTGAAGAGCTGAAAGGTTTAGCTTTCGAGATAGTCAAAAGATGTGAAGGATTGCCCCTTGCAATTGTGGCAATTGGTGGACTTCTGGCAACCAAAGGCAAGGATGGTTTTCATTGGAAACGCTTACTTGATAGCCTCAGTGCCGAGTTCGAAAGTAGCCCACATCTTTCACATATAAAACAGATTCTTTCATTTAGTTACTACAATCTGCCTTACTATCTCAAAGGTTGTTTCTTGTTCCTTGGCATGTTTCCTGAAGATTGTTCCATAAATTGCAAGAGGCTGATTCGGATGTGGATCGCAGAGGGTTTCGTAAAAGGAAAACACGGTATGACCTTAGAAGAAGTTGCAATGACATACCTAACCGAGCTGATCAACAGAAGCTTGGTTCAAGTATCAATGATTGATTCTATTGGCGATGTTAGGAACTGCCAGCTCCATGATTTGATGCGTGAAGTTGTTCTTTCCAAGGCCGAAGAACTGAGTTTCATTCAAACATGTCCAGCAAACTTATCGAGTCATAATCGAGTAGCTCGATATCTTTCCATCTGCAACAAATCAAACAATTCCCCAGTGACGGTCGGTAACTGTCAAACTCATTTAGCTATATTCTTTGACATAGAAGAGTTACCTAAATCATTATGCGTCTTATTCTTCACAAAGTTCAAATTGTTGAAAGAAATGGATTTTGAAGGAGCTCCATTGACTTCCATTCCTGAGGAACTGGGAAATCTATTACATTTGAAATACTTGAGCATCAGAGATACAAAGGTGAAAAAGCTCCCTAAATCAGTTGGTAAATTACATAAGCTTCAAACATTGGATCTAAAACGTTCTCTTGTAAGCGAGTTACCAGGTCAAATCAAAACGCTCGTCAATCTTCAATATCTTGTAGCTTACTACAAAGATAAACAAAGCATCTACAATATCAATACTCGAAAAGCGATGAAGTTAAATGGTAACTTTGGGAGCTTAGAGTCCTTGGAAAAGCTCTATGAGGTGGACCTGGAGGCCTACAGTGGTGGTAACTTCTTTCATGAGTTAGCAAGATTGAAGCAATTGAGAAAACTATGCATCACCAAACTAAAATCAGAAAATGGGAAAGATGTATGTGATGCAATAGAGCAGATGACCCACCTTCAATCATTGCGAATTTCTGCCATAAAAGAGGAAGAGCTTCTTCAGCTAAATTTGATATCATCTCCTCCGGTTTTTCTTCGTCATCTAAGGCTTCGAGGAAGATTAATGAAGTTACCTGATTGGATTTCTGAACTGAGGAACCTCACAAAAGTTACATTGGAATGGTCAAGAATATCAGATGATTCACTTCAAATCCTTGGTGCTCTACCAAACTTATTGTTATTATATAATTATAAGGGATACAATGGAGCTCAACTGCATTTTCAAAAGAATCACTTCAAGAAACTCCAGGACTTGGGGCTTTGCGGGTTAAGTGACTTGAACAGACTGATAATAGATGAAGGAACATTAACACTTCTAGAACATCTAGAATTTGGACCTAGCCCTCAATTCGAAGAATTGCCTGCTAGCATTTCCTATCTAAAATGTCTTAAGGCTCTATCAATTAATGATATGTCCAAGGAATTCGCTCGGAAATTGTTGCCCAATGGAGGCTTGGATCATTGGAAAGTCAAGCATATTCCGAATATATATTTCCTTTACGACACATTTAAAGGAACAGACCGTCAAACCTACAAGCTTGGTGACCCACACTTGTTAGCATACCTGAGTTGAAGCACTTATAATAAGTAATGATGTTTGTATCATTTGCATCTATGTTACTTAGACAGACATGGGAGTGTCCAATACAGGCACATGACAAACACGGGTATGTAATCTTTTTGTAAGTTTCAATATGTATTTGAAGGGTCCTTAGAGGAACTATCTCTGTAACCATTTCTGAAAATGTCTGACACGGATGTCGGATACAATTACCTAAACAGAATTGAAGAGTTAGAGCAACATAGATTTGCATTTTTTTGAGTTTTCTATTTCTTTTGTTTTATGTTTTAATTAGCATGATTTTGTAGGACAGGGAAAACACTCATCAGTTTTCAGCTGAAAGTAGAATGGCCATGTAGGAAGAAACTAAATTCAAGTTCTTTCCTCCAAGAACCAACCAGACTTACTCGATATTCCAGCTCAGTTGGTAGAGCACAAGGTTCTAAACCTTGAGGTCGTGGGATCAAGTCCCACGGAGGGCATTTCATAATTTGGAGGTCTCCTACGGAAGCTGCTCTCAACCTGGTGTTGGGGGCAGCCTACTATCTTACCTCCCCCTTACCCCATACATATGGGAAAAAAGGGACAACCATTTTATAGTCATACTTTTTAGAGGGCCATTAATAGTTTATGATAGCATAAGATAGATTTAAAGCTTTGGAAGCATGTTAATGGTAGATTCTATGTTTTGAAGTCATAAGCATGTTTAAAGCCTCTTTTATGATCCTACTTGAATACATAAGACACTAAGAACAATTGGGAACCTCTAGGTAGCAATGTGAGTGAGTTGAAGTGCCCAAATAAGGCATTTTTGAGTGTAGGTATCGGTACTGGAGGGATCAGTACCGATATTGTTCATGTTCAGGCTTAAAAACTATGAAATTTATGAGGGCAGTATCGATACTCCTTGGTGGAGTATCGATATTGAGGGTTGGTATCGAAATTGGTGAACTTGATATCAAAACTCAAATTCTAGAATGCAATTTTGGTATCGGTAATCAAGGGAATATCGATACCCAAGGTCCAAGTATCGATACTCCCCATAGGAGTATCAAAACTTTCCCTTTTAAAATGAAATAGGTGCTTTAGTGCTAGAGTATCGATACCTAGGTAAGAGTATAAATACCCGACAAGCAGTATCGATATTGTATGTCCAATATCGATACCAAGAAGTTATTTTGGGCTAGAAATTTAGAGAAATTTAAAAGGCTAATGAGGTTCCCAATAACTTTAATTATTTTCAAATAAGACTACAAGTGGAACAATAATAATGATTAATTCGAACGTAGAAACAAGATAAAATAGGGACAAATAAAACTAGCATTGTTTGATGCTCGGGAAACGATTCAGACACCTGAGTTCCTTTAGTTTAGGGTGTCAAAGTATATAATCAATTCGGATATCCTTAGGTAGGGTGCAGGGCCCTTAAAACTAAATAGCTAGGGCACAAGGTCCAACCCTCTCAAGGGGTGGGCTAGTCGGGGTGTGTTGTTTGATGTAGAGATTCCGGGGGCCAAATCCTTGGTAGACTAGAGGGGTGCGTCAGCTCCAAGATGCAGAAATCCCTCAGCTGCACTATGATGTCTACCATAACGTAGAGAGTAAGTATCGCAAGGATACTCACTAATGTTTGAATTGATTAGATTTACTGTATTTTTATCAGTTATTAAAGCATGTTATTAATGAACCCCTGCTAGTATGATTTAGTTGTTAGTGTGGCATTAGGCTAGTTAGCTCAGCATTTGGAATTTGTTTTCTTACTCAAATTCTTAGGTGGAGCACTTGAAGAACCTTTTGCAGTGTAGATCTAGACCGGAAACAAAGTAGAGTACGTCTCGAGTCCTTTAGAGGGCATGTATATTCGGTTTCCCTATTTTTGTATACTCGAGTCATTATTTGTTTTGAGAGATGCTATGTATATTTTGTATAATTATTTATGGGAGCTCCCGAATATAAACTATTTTGTTTAAGAAAAGATTTTGGTTAGCCACTTCGGTGGTTCTATGGGGCACTCTCATTGGTCGACTGTGTGTCGTACTGGTGTAGGAGGTTACAAAATATATATATATATATAACAATCTACTTAGGCAAATGTAAAATTAATTTTACATTTCTCACTTTTCTTTTTAACAATAATAATTTCTAAATTTCATTTCACTAGAACTTTTGTTCCCCTTTCTCTATCACTCTTTCCCGTTGATTATTAACTTCTTTCCCTTAGCTTGCTCATATATTGCAAGCTTTTAAAATGCAATGAGGAAACACAGCAAATAACTCGGTCAAAAAAGGCACCCCTAAGGCTTTGCTTGGTAGAGTGGAAAGCAACTTGAAAGAAAATAAAGGGGGTAGAAAATGCTGCTTGTAGATAAAGAATAAAAATAACCCACTCTATAACTATGTTACCAGTTACCTAGACTATTTGTTTTCCTAAAGTACACATGTTTTATACATATTTAGACACGAGTATGCAGTATGATTCTCCAAATATTGGGGGGGGAAACCTTTTCAAAAAGGTGAAACATACCTGTGCTTAACATATGAAACTCACCCCGAATCCAGGTAATACAGCTCCACAGGCGGAACCTGTGGAGTTCCTTAATCTACCATACAAACAAGGGTGACTGAAGCAACTTGATATTCCAATAAACCAGAAACATAAAGCAACTAAAACATCCCTATATTTAAGAAATAGCATAGCCAAAGAAAAGAGGGAGAATCCAAATAAAACTTTATGCAAAGAAGATATAAGCACACAAAGAGAGGAACCCGGAGTTCCAAATAAACTTTATGCAAAGAAAAAAATATTAAAGATATAAGCACACAAAGAGAGGAACGCAGAGTTAAGGAAGGTGATTCAAGGCAGAGTAATTGACACATAAAGCTACAGCCTCCGACAGTATCATACATATGCAGCTTAATTGAATTGTGCTCAGCTCCCATTACCCATTTTATTCTTGCCAGGCGAGATTGAAGCAGAAAAATGCTCGAACCAGAGTCGGCAAATTTCAACATCTTACAATTGAGTTCGAAAAGGAACATTATTCAGGAACTAATACAAAAAAAGGCATTGAAATTTGTAGCAATAAATGAGACTTACAACATTAAAACTAACTAAAAAGATAAGAGAATGCCAATGTTTAACCGGTGATCATAGTTCCAGCGCCTTCATCGGTCATAATCTCATGAAGTAACGAGTGCTCAACACGACCATCAATAATGCTAGCAGTGGTGACTCCTTGAGCAAGGGATCGAATGCAACAATTCACTTTCGGAATCATTCCACCACCCACCTTCCCTTCCTCAATCATTTTCTTCACTCCTTTTATATCAATCTCTTTCACCAAGCTTCCAGGGTCCTCTCGGTCTCTCAGAATCCCTGCGACGTCGGTCAACAGGATCAGTTTCTCTGCTCCCAATGCCGCCGCGACCTCACCAGCAACCGTGTCTGCATTGATGTTGTAAGGCTGCCCGTACTCATCCGCAGCCACTGAAGCAATCACCGGGATGCTTCCGTTAGCCACGAGCGTTTGAAGGACTGTAGGGTCCACTCTCGCAACTTCTCCGACAAACCCCAACTGTGCAGCATTTGGGCTGGGCCGGGCAGTTAAAAGACGGCCGTCCATACCAGAAAGGCCGACGGCGGTGGCTCCAGCGAAGTTGATACGAGAGACAAGGTCTTTGTTAACTTTTCCAACAAGGACCATGGAAACAACTTCCATGGTCCTGGCGTCGGTCACACGGAGCCCATCGCGGAACTGAGAGGGAATGTTGAGCTGATTGAGCAGAACGTTGATCTCAGGACCACCACCGTGGACGAAGACGGGACGGAGGCCAACGCATGCGAGAAGGACGAGATCCCTGACAACAGAGGCCTTGAGCTCGGCAGATGTCATGGCGCCGCCGCCGTACTTGACAACAATGGTCTTTCCCCTAAATTTCTGGATGTATGGGAGTGATTCAGAGAGGATTTTGACTCGAAGTTGATGATCGTAATTGCTAAGAGTGGGATTAGGCGAGTCATTGAGAGCGGTGGAGGAGGCTGAAGAAGCTCTTACGGCAAGACGTGGATGGGGGTTTAATGAGGTCTTCGAGAAATTCACATTGGGGTGTAGGGTTTTCGATTTTGTTAATGAGAGAAATGAAAGGGGCTCCTGTGATGAGCAAAAATTGAGAGATTTGGTGGTGGCTATTGCGCCCATTTCTTTTTCCTTCTTTCTTGTTTTCTTCTGCTTTTGGTTTATGAGAGAACTAATGGCTGCACACTGAGACTCGAGTATTTATGGAAACGTAAGATTATCAATTTTAATGACTTGATTATCTTTAAAAATTGAGAGATTTGGTGGTGGCTGTTGTATTTTTTTTATTTGTCAGTCTCCACAAATTATAGATTTAATCTTATATTTTGATTTTATCAATTTTAATTTTATATTTTAAATTTTTAAAAATACAAACTATACAATGATAATATAATTAAATTATAAGTTCTAAAATAATTGAATTAGAAAAAAATAAAGTTACTACTTATTAATAATATAAAGATTGATAACAAATTTAACTAAAACGATTTGTCGAGACAATATTTGCCCGGCGAAAAACAAAGTGTCGTTGTCTCGAAAAAAAATAAGTGCTTATCTTCTTGTATAAGATAAAACACAAATTTGAGTAGTCGCCACCAATCATTTAACGAGATGTGATTGGTCACCAAAAAATGATATGTTATTTTAATAAAATTCATAAGAATAGTATTAAAATAACACAAAAATTGTCTCCTTACCAGAAAATGAGTTCAGGAGTCGGTTACATGTGGGGAAGGATTAGCACCCCATAATACCCTAAATTGGTATATTTATTTATTAATTAATGTCTTTGCAGTAAAATTTACAAATTTGTATTTAATTTAACCTATAATCCCATAAAAAAACATTAAGGATATTATTTTATACCAACAAATCTTTTAAAATATTTTCCTAATCAATTAAGGAAATATTTTATGATTTATTGTATAAAATAAAATAACCCGAGTACATGTAATAAATTTAATGATTAAAACGTGAAAATATCAAAATTCTAGATTACTATTACTAATGTTTCATATTTTAGGTACTATAAGTGTAAATAAACTAATAGTAATATTAAAAATTAAAAGTGTTAAAATTAAGAGATTAAATTGAAAAATAATAAAACCTATGGTCATTATTCAAATTATCATAAAAGACTAGGTATTGAAAATGTAACCCTAATAATTATACTGATTAAAATATAAATTGTTAAAATAATAGGGACTAAAT